CCTCCGGGGCAGGCAGGAATCGAACTCATGCGGAAGTGGCTTTAGCTTCTCAGTGCTGTGCTTTAACCTGCTGTGCCACCAGGGAGGGCCATAGTAGATCTATTTTTAATGATTTGAGAAAACTCTATGCCAAAACAAGTCATTTTGAATGCTACAATCTCTTCATTTCTTAGTCAAACAAGTATAACTTGTTGAAGAATTTATTCTAATATAACAAAATTAAAAGTGGTTAAAAATTCCTGGGACTGTAACACACATATACTAAATTTGCAATGATACAGATTAGTCTGGCTCCTATACAAGGATTCCATATTATAAAAAAGGAAGAACTTGGCCTGGAACCCAGTTTTTGTACATCATATTAATCAAATTAACACATAAATTTTAAAATGTGAGGTATAGTTTGCCTATTTAACAATCTCATGGAAATACAACATTTCATGTGCTGCTAAATTGGTGAAGACATTCATAGTTAGCCACTTTTCTACAGTAATTTCCAGGACTGCTGGGAGCTTATTTACTACAAAATGAAAGAAGTTAGAATCTTGGAGGTAGAGAAATGAGCTGAACAATAACAGGTAGTAGAACCTGGAGTGGTAGTAGACAAGGACTGGATCTTATAAATGTGTGGCTCAGCATTCTAGCGGAGCCAAAAGGGATTTTTTTGTTTGTTTGTTTGTTTGTTTGTTTGTTTGTTTTTGTTAGTGCAAGAGTCACTGCTTTACTGCTTTTCATTTTAAAAAGGGAGGGAGATAAGTAGGAAAGAATTTCCAGGACAAAATGTAAATGAATTTCACTAGGTAACTCTTGGGAAATTTGGGCTTGAATGCTGAGTCAGTTCAAACTTTAATAGCTCAGGCCCTCCCTAGCAGCACAGCAGGTTGGGACGCAGCACTGCAAGCTGGCCATAGCTACTTCAGTGAGAGTTCAATCCCTAGCCCCAGAGGTGACCACATGGGGTGGCAGACCCCTCCTAACCCACCCGCTGTTCTCCTCAGCAGTGGACTTCGTCGATCTGCCTGTTCTGCTCCCCACTCTGTCTCTGGTGAATATTCTCACCGTCCCTACACCTCTGGCTTGTACCCCAGTTCTGTATGCATGAATAAATAAATCTCTTTTTTTTTAATTTAATAGCTCAATCTTGGGAATGAGAAAATTATTATCAAATGCTTCTTACACACTTCCATATAGCAATGAATACCTCTTCTGAAATTTTCCAAATCTGTGGGGAAATGTTGCAGGAAACCAACTTCATGAGTTAGCAGTTGGAAGTCAGGGTGATACAGAATGCAAATGTAGGACAGGATCAACCCAGACCTCCTGGCCAAGCGTATTTAATTTTTTATATCACAAAATGATTTGCTACATCACTTCATTTCCCCAGTAGGGCTCACATCTCCTGTATCTACTTCAAGAAATGCAAAAATTGATGATTATTGCCCTGGATTCGTCTCTCTTCTTTGCTTGAAATAGCATTAAAAAAAAAAAAAGAGAGCATAGCAGCTTAACCTTACTGAGGCATCAGCTACCCAGCCTTAGGTCTGACACAGAACCATCATCTCAGCAAAAGAAGCCATCAATGAGTGATTTCACATCATCATCTGCTCCTGTAAGGTAAAATCCAGTAAGACCAGGTTCTCCTGGGCTTTTATATCACAGTAAAATAGTAAAAACAAACTTCCTACTGGAAATAACAGCATTCTAACGAACATTAAGCCAACTGCACAAATACTTACATACAAGAATATACATATTTGTCGATTCCTATTAAGCAAGCAAAGTTGACCAACTCAACTTGCCAACACTGAACAATGGCTAAATAAATCACAGTCCCATGCATGGAATCAGTCACCTATGACCTGAACAGACTGTGTAAAGGAAGCTCTGGGAAGTGGCAGGTGTGTCTAGTTCTTTGATGTGGTGAAAGTCTCATAAATATTTGCATGTGTCTAAGCTGATCAAGTTAAATATGTGCAGTTGTTTGTATATCAATTATACCGCAACGAAAAGCTGTTTTTGAGAAATGTGTAGGTTTTTGTAATTAACATAGTAATTGACATAGAAAGTAATTATTGTAGAAAAATAAAATCTGGTTTTAAAATTGTCTGCTAGCATGACTTACTTCTGGTACATTATTTGAATTTCAAAATAATCTACAAGTATATACACCAAAATGTCATAACTGTATCTCTAACATGTTTGATTAAAAAACACAATTTTCTTTTTGCATTTGTATTTTCTAATTCTTCACTGAAAAAATTATCTTCATAATAGTCAAAACTTTAAATAAAAAATGAAAATAGGAAGACACACTTTTATCTTAGAGTAGGGGTGGGATGAGAGGTGAGAAAAAGAAAATGAAGGAAACAGTTATAACTTATTTATAAAGGTAAGAGAAAGTTAAAAACAGCACAGAGGTCAGAGTTAAAGAATGGATATTTTGAACTTGAAATGGGGAAGTCTGTTCAAAAGAACCACTTCTCAGGGATAGAGAATAAAAGGATGTTCTTGATATTCTGTCTTAGGATTTCAACTCATCAAGTAAATGAATCTAAACAGCCTTTACTTTGCTAATATATACTGTGTATTATTTGTGCCTCTCTGGTTCCATCACATTATAAGACATGCTCTCAAATAGCAGGCAGCCACATGATGTATAAGCTAAACACTTCAGAGAACTTATAGGAGGCAGGGACTGGACACAGAGTAGGTATAAACTAATAACCATACCCATCAATCCTTTGGATGTGTCATCTAAGGTGAGCAGTGAGATACATGCGTCCCCATTCCTTCCAGACGTATATTGATCCACAGATCAAGCTATGTTAGGAAAAGACCTTAAAAATTGGGACATGCTGCAGATCACCAACTACCAGGAAAAAACAGAAATCTACCTTTATATCTTTTCCATGGCAGATGACTAACATCAACTACCAACATGAAAGAAAATCTGATATTGAAAAGGCTAGAAAATATTTAGAAGGATTTCCCTCAGGACTATAAACTTCAGAGTAATAGAAAGGCACTCTAATTTAACTGTGAGTCATTACATTAGCACATTTCCAGGTAGGAAAATGAAGCTGGAAACTTTGAAAAAAGGTATCATACAATGAGAAGGAAGTTTAAGGGCTTGTATATTGTTTTAATGCAGTCTTATTACTTCATTTTATAGTAAAGTTCTGTATAAATGGTATTTTGACTTCCTGCAGATTGTATAGTAACAACATTTACATAGGGGGCATAAGGCAAACTCCACAAGCCATTTTCAACAGACATATTTGTAAGTAACCTCTCTGGCAGATTTTTCTGTTCTTATTTCAGGGTCACCCCACCCTTCATGCAGCCATGGCCCTGGGACACTGGAGTACAGTGCTGACTTCACGCTGGCTGCCTTCCCAGTTTTCCTGGAACTTTGACTTTTCCTCTTTGTAGTTTTCTTGCTGACTTACACGTTAACAACAGGAAACATCATCATCGTCGTCCTAATATGGACTGATAATCGCCTACCATCCCCAATGTACTTTTTCCTCAGTAATTTGTCCACTCTGGATATTTTATACACCACTGTCACCACACCAAAGTTGCTGGCCTGCCTCCTAGGAGAGAATAAGACCATATCTTTTCGCTGGCTGCATCACCCACATCTGTTCCTACTTCTTTCTGGGGACTATGGAGTTTATTCTCTTGGTGGTGATGTCCTTCGACCGCTACATGGTCATCTGTAGCAGCTGCGCTACACCCTCATCATGAACACCAGGACCTGCCTTCTGCTCATCCTGGGCTACTACTGGGTGGGGGCCTTCCTGTCCATGTTGGGACCAACCTTGTGATGACAAGGATACCTTACTTTAGCAAAGAAATTAATCACTTTTTCTGTGGCATTGCCCCTCTTAAAGGTAGTCTGTATGGATACTGGCCTCGTTGAGAAGATAAACTTTCTCCTCTCTGTCCTTGTCATCCTGAGTTCCCTGGCATTCACTGCTGGGTCCTACACCTACATCATTTCAGCCCTCCTGAGCATCCCTTCCAGCTAGGGCCGCCAAGAGCCATCTCCACCCGTGCTTCTCACATCACTGCTTATGGAAGCCACATCTTTGTGCATGTGAGACCTGTCAGAAATATTCACTGGATTTTGACAAGGTAGTTGCTGTGACCCCTCTTCTAAATCCTTTTATTTATAGTTTGAGGAATGAAAAGAGGTAAAAGAAGTGTTGACAGAGACAGTGAACAGAATCAGCTCTTTGATACTAAGGAAAACTTGAAATTAGTGTTCAGAACATCATACAGCTTTTCTTCAGCCCATGTATTCTTCATGGATAGGGCAGCATGTCCACGTGCCAGAAACTTCAGACTGTGCCAAAAGTATTAGCAGTACTTATACCAGAGTGAAGGAAAAGTCTTTTTTTATGTCTGGGGAGGAGGGGTGGAATTAATTAATGCACCGCTTGTCTTGTATATTCACAGCTAAAAACCATAAAAAGTTACCTGATGGGATTCAGAGGTCTCCAAATCAATTTACCTTGCTGGTGACTTTAGCCACATCATGACTTACCTGAATCTCACTGTCACCAGCTCTAAATAAATTAATAAATAATGAAGCATCACTACTTTCAGCAACTTGCATGAAGTCAGAGAACTTTAACTTTTGCTAGGTGCTCTTAACTAGTTTAAGAGACTCGGTTTTCATCTATATTGACCACATCAAGTAAATGTGATGTGAGCAGCGAAGGAAAAAGAACTAAGGCTCAGAACGCTATCAAGCCTCAGCATGTCAATGGATGAAGTGGAGATTTTTGATGAGAAAAGGATCATAGGACATGTTTGCATTAGACAAACTGAATCAGGGCTCCTGTGGGACATCTAAGTTGCCGGGTGAACTATCAGTATTATTTGAAGTGTAGGCAAGAGAAATAAGCTAGAAATGTAGTTTAGGGAATCGTTAAATATATTAATCATAGTTAAGCCCATAGAATTAGCTGAAAACAGAAGCATAACACATTATCTCTCCCACCCTGGTGCTTCCCACAGGCGCCCACCAACTCCTGCCAGCATGCTCATATAAGTTAACTCTGAATCATTTTGCCCACTAGTGTGTTGCCTATTCTCAAACTCTACCTGGGCACCCTAAGGCACATTAAAAAGACAGAATTCAGGCCCTCCCTGGTGGCGCAGCGGGTTAAAGCACAGCACTGAGAATCTAAAGCCGCTTCCGCATGAGTTCGACTCCCGCCTGCCCCAGAGGTGACCACATGGTGCGGCAGACCTCTCCTGACCCGCCCGCTGCTCCCCTCAGCAGTGTACTTCGTCCATCTGCCTGTTCTGCTCCCCACTCTGTCTCTGGTGAAGCCTCTCACCCTCCACATCTCTGGCCTGTACCCCAGTTCTGTATGCATAAATAAATAAATCTTAAAAAAAAAAAAAAAAAAGACAGAATTCAGGGCCCTCCCTGGTGGCGCAGCGGGTCAGGACACAACATCAAGAAGTTAAAGCCTAGCCCTCCCTGGTGGCGCAGCAGGTTAAAGCACAGCACTGCAAGCTACCCACAGCCACTTCAGTGCGAGTTCAATCCCTGACCACATGGCCGACAGACCTCTCCTGATCTGCCCACTGCTCCCCTCAGCAGTGTACTTCCTCCATCTGCCTGTTCTGCTCCCCACCCTGTCTCTGGTGAATCTTCTCACCCCCTGCACCTCTGGCCTGTACTTCAGTTCTGTAGTATGCATAAAAAATCTTTAAAAGAAAAAAACAACAGAATCGAGACAGCGTCAATTCACACAATTGCATATATCTGAAAAAAATTAAATGGTTTCAGAGCTCTTAAAAATTCTTCCATCCCTAAAAAATGTGAAAAATGATGTAAAAATAAACTTTTTAATAAAAAAAAATATATATATCTCAACGAAAAAAAAAAAAAATTCTTCCATCCCTTCCAGCTCATGGAAATATCATCTGAGTAACATCTAATGCAGTGTTATATGTGTGTGGTGTAATACAAGCCCTACATAATACAAAAGCAAAGATTATGATATTAAAATTCTTAGAAATGGAGTGTTTGAAATGCCTTAGAAGCTTTGAGAATAGTGTATACTAGAAAAAAAGTTTCTAGATACTATTATAGTTAGAAATATAACCCCAAGTTTTTTAACACAATCAAACATGGTGAAGAAAAGAGTTGATAATAAATACATCTTAGTGACAAACTGAAAATTCATTCTCTTAATCTAGTAATTTACCAGGCAGAGACTTCATTATTAGAAATCTTATGCATGTCTTTCAAATGCCTAATCACTCTATTGTTTGTTTTCATAGCCGGATACAATAAGGAAGTTCTTGAGCCTCTTAAAGTTTGAAATTAAGTTTTATTAGTCACATACACTCCAACCACAAGGGGGAGTGCGAGACACAAGCGCGCACATGCACATGCGCAAACCATCGTTCCTACCCTCTTCACCCCCACCCCCACCCCCACCCCCAACCTTCAATTTACCTCCTTCGGTCAGAGGAGCTAGAGAAGTTTGCTGCACTGCACAGTTCCTGGGGTCACAGGTCACACTGTACGTATTTTAAATTCAAGATGTTTGGGAGCTTTGGATGCAATGAGTGAATCTGCTAAAAATTTTTAATTTAAGAACCTTTGGGTCTGATTTTATTTTATATATGTGGCTGGTGCAGAAAGAGAAGCCTTGGAGTCTCCTGTCACTTTTAAAACATGAGCAGTATAGGAACGAGTGGCATGCAGTCCTTACTGTAGGCCTGTGGTGCTCTCTCTCTCAGAGATAAACATCTTTCTTTACTTGGCGTATCTTCCCTTGGACACTTTCTATGCTAAGATTTTCTTTTTTCAATAATTTCTAGATGCTTTGAGATATTTTTTATAAAAATATTTCTATCTGAAAATTCATTTTCAGAGAGCAAATTTTACAAAAGTAAATTATGCTCATGTCCATTAAAGTAACCTATTGTGTCAATATTGAAAATATACATAATTTCATTTGTAGACATGTACTTTTATACACTTTTCAAAGGTTGCATTTTTTTCACTTTAGTCTTTTTAAACAGTTAAACAATTTTTTTCAAGACTATTTGTCTTAATTAATTAAAACAGTTGCTATATTGTTTAAATAGACAAAGAGGGTGCCTGGAATGTAAAATTTTTTTTGCTCTTAAGCTCATAGTGAATACACATGAAAAGTAATTCAGTGAAACTGTTACCTTTATTGCTGAAATTGATTTCATTTTATACTTTTTGAAAAACTTTAATATTTTGATTGCTTTGTCCAAAATAAATTGGTAATATTTAACCAAACTGTTAACAAGTGGATGCTGAACACGTCACTTCCATATTTTAAGGTATCAGGAAAGAGAAATTACTAAAAGTGAAGCTTGCAAACCCAGGAGGCATCGAAATCTCTACTTACTAAACAAGGAAGCAACTGAGTAAACTGTAAAATGAGAACTCCAAAAATGATTAGACTTAATTTTGAAATGTTTGGGTAATTTTTTTATATTGTATATCTATTTGTTTTTAGGGGGAAAATTACTAGATTTAAACTACCTTGGAAAATATGTAAAACTTTTAGATTTAAATTGCCCTCCAGAAATTTTACATTAACTTACTAGCAAATACTGCTTACAGAGACTGCCTCTGAGTTAAAAAGTACTCCTGAAATAATCTGTCAGACCTGTAGAAAACCAAGCTAAGCCAATAGATATTTAGTTATTGATATGAATCATGCTAGTAGTATTGTGACAGATGGCATTACTTTTCTGATAAATAACTTCATTATATAAATTATCATCAGTTATCCTACTAAATGTTTATTATTTTATATTATCTTTAATTGAAGTGACATTTGTATTGTAACATACAGTGCTTCACTTCACTAAAAATCAACATGTGTGCATGCTCGCCCTCTATTCCCCTGTGCAGAGTAGTTCAATAGATCCACCTGTTCTGTTCCCCACTGTCTCTGGTGAATCCTCTCACCCCTCTCACCTCTGGCCTGTACCCCAGTTCTTGTGTGCATAAATAAATAAATCTGGTGGTGCAGCGTGTTCAAACATAGCACTTGGAAGCTAAAGCCACTTCCACATAAGTTCGATCCCCGCCCCAAAGGTGACCCACATGGCACGGCAGACCTCTCTTGAACCACCCACTGCTCCCCTCAGCAGTGTGCTTCCTCAATCAGTCTGTTCTGCTCCCCACTCTGTCTCTGGTGAATCCTCTCACCCCTCTCACCTCTGGCCTGTATCCCAGTTCTTGTGTGTATAAATAAATAAATAAATCTTTTTTAAAAATGGCAAGTGGAAGAATGCAGTATGTTAAAATTTTTATTACTAAGTAATTTTGAAACTATTGAAGTAGCCTGATCCCCTGTACTCAGCTCTAATGTAACATACTAGTGGAAGACCTTGCCCAAAAAAAGATGGCATGCTGAAAACAAATTTATTTTCTCAGTCCACCAAAGAATCAGTTCTAGAAGATGGAAACTCAAGGGAGTAGTAGGAATTAGAAATGTAGAGTTAAAAGGAAAAGATGAATCAATGGTGAAGCTTGACCATCAAGATTCAGGAGATACAAGAGAATGTCAAGGCTGTTCTGCCTTAGATTGGACCTTTATCAGCAAGAGGCCAGAGGCAATGAGAGAGCGTGGTCCGAGCCAGAGCTGAAGCATGATTTTGAGGAAAAGGAACACTGACCATAAAGACAACAGAATAGCACTTGAGACTTGACACTGTTCTTCAGTCACCAGAGCCCAATGTCTTTCCAAACTGCACATCAGAAATTACACAGAGATCCATCCAAGCTTTATCATGAACAACCTCCTACTTAGATCCCTGAACATTAATATTTTTTTATTATCTGTAACATTCATGACAGTTGTCTTTAAACAACATTATGGACCTAACTCTCAGCCAAGTCCTTGACAATCAGTTCTTGAGTTTGCTCTTGAATCTATACACACAGCTAAAGCAGTGCTTCTGTGACGTGTTCCTGATATATCTGTTATTGAAAGCAGGGCTCAGTATTCAAACTGGGAGAGCCAGAAAATTAGACAAGGGTAAGCAATTTCTCACTACACACAGCTCCTCAGAGTGTTTAACACCATCCGGAACAAATTTTCCAAATCCCATGGGCCCTCCCTGGTGGCGCAGCGGGTTAAAGCATAGCACTGCAAGTGAGCCTCAGCCACTTCAGTGCGAATTCGATCCCAGGCCCCAGAGGTGACCCACATGGCACAGCAGACCTCTCCTGTCTCGC